AGGGCGTCAAATACTCTCCGGTCTGTCACGTGACATCAAAGACGACATTTTTCTCCGCCTGTCACGCAGGTTGTCGAACAATAATCAACGACAAGGAATTCGGGAACTGCAGTTGTCTCCCACTGAGTTCATCGAACCTCGTCTTCGACCATGACACCGTACAACCTCTGGTGCAGGATCAATTAATCCACTCGAATAATTTGCGAACGATGAATTACGACAAAGTCAGAGCCGGAATCTGCTCGAACGATTGCAGCGGGCCATATCTTTTATTCACCGTTCTCAGCTGCATCATACAAACTCTGGCATGTTCCGGGAAGATCGGCAATGTCCTGGTGAATTATCGCAGCGTCGACAAGAAGGATAAAAGTTTCGCCCAGGGTGTCACTTTGATGACCATCTCCCTGTTCGCGTTGATACCCGGACCAATTATTTATGGAGTCATCATCGATTCGACTTGTTTGATCTGGGAAGAGTCCTGCTGAACCAGAGCGAACTGCTGGTTCCATCATGGGAAGAATTTCAGATATTTAGTTAACGTAACGTCGGCGGGTGAGTTTTTAGCAGAATTTGTACCGATGTCGATCCACGAGTTGATGCCTGGAGAGATAGGTGTTTAGAAGAGCTACCTCAAACGCCAACTCGTGGGTTGACATAATGCACGCCGTGTACAGTATGTACAAGACGGAGTCTGACAATTTTAATATCGCCAGAACCGAATGACACAGGGGTAATCGACGCCGGGGGTGGGAGTCGAGGGGCAGAAAGGTGGAAGAGCAGAAGTACCATCGAAACAGGGGTTTCAGAGGCTAAATGGAGGCACTGCAGAAGCAAGGGTTAACTCAATATAGCTGTAAGTGAATTACTTATCGCGTACACCCTGTATACAGACTAGATGCGTTTAGCTATAGGTCACGGATACTCAGCGACGAGCCAGAGTTTCGTCGACAAGAATAAACACGTATCCCTTTTTTTCCCCTGTCAAACTTCATTTTTTTTTTTTCGAAAACCACGTTGATATCCCTTTGTACTGCGCTGATTCCATTACGACTAATCTTGTTACGAAACATCAACGTGACTTTTTATGCCGTTCTTTTCTGCGAAAAAATTAACCACGTTTCAAGACTTTGTCCACATTTTATCGATGGGTCAAAAACGTTTTAAACAGGTTTTGGTGGAAAAGCTCGACAAAGAGGTATTTTGGGTGAACGGAAATCGAAGAAAATGCAAATTCCAAAGGGTTATGCCCTTCGAGAGCCCTAGCAAGGTCTTCGAGTACTGTGATCTTTGATGGACGCCTGGTTGCTCAAGAAAATTCAGTTAGTCCGCAGCTTTGTGTCCTGTCGCGAGACGAGGGTTGGAGGGGTGATAGTGCTCGGACGGATGTCTCTGCTTCGAACTTAATTAGCCGTCGCAGCCTTAATTACCGCCTGATATTGCTCCGGGACAATTAACGCAATTAACCGGAGAAAGTGTTGCGCATCGTCTTTTCTTTCGAACTTCAGCGTCTACGGGCGTTTGTTATCATCGGGGTCTTACTTGCACCTTTACAAATGGAACTATTACAAATCAATTGTATTTCATTTTCTTTTATTCTTAGTGCCTTTTATTAATTTGATACATGGAGAATTTTATACAATTTTTGAATGTCGTATCGTAAGGATACAATGTCAAGTACGAAGAACAATATGGCGCTTAAGAATCTTCTTTATCGATCGAAAGAATATGTGGTAAAAAGAACACATTCGTAAAATGTAACATTTTTAATCTAAAATATACAGTCACCCCATAAAACAGCAAACAGAAAATGTAAGAAAGAATGATACAATAAATAGCAACGAATATAGAAGATTGATTTCGTAACGAATAGCGTAATATAAGAAAGTAATAGAATACATAAGAAAGTTTAATAAAATATAACGATGAAATGAATAGCTGAAGGTTAATCTCGAAGAGTAACGAGACAATAGTGTCAGAAAGGAGTATACGAAGAACAATATGGCGCTTAAAAAACAGAATCTTCTTTATCGATCGAAAGAATTTGATAGGAGGCCGTAAGAGGAATGGCAGAGGGTATCCTAGGGTATTCGGCGGAAAGACACGTTTAAAGAATTAAAGTATCTAATGCGAAAGAAAGGTCTTCGAAGCCGCCGTTTGAAAGCATTGTCTGCTTAAGCCTGGCATTCAGTAGCCTCTCTCTCTCTTCTCGGGTATAAATTGCGAAAGATAAGATAGTACGCAGGCGGTGGGGGCCGGTGGTGGGAGAAATAAGAAATTAAGAGAGAGTCTTAGAAGAGAATAAAGCTAAGAATTCAGGTGGTTGAGGGAGCACGGTGAAGAGGAGAGGTGAAACGAAGAGAAAGAAAACAGGAAGAGCGACAGAAGACGGAATGAACTGAAACCACCGCTGGCGCCCGCTTTCGGGCTTAAGTCCTCCCAGGGATTCTTACTCGCGCGTCATTTAACAAAACAATTAGAAGTTAACCCCTTCCTTCGTCCGTGAGTTCTTTTCTTTCGAATCTACGTTCCAAAATTAAGCAGGCTTTCAACCCTTTTCTGAGATCGACCAATACAATGTACTCGGGTGTGTACAGAAATCGCGTAATCTTGCGCGCTGACTCACCTTATGGCTTCGAATGAAATTGTATTTTTTTATGGGGCGATTTTGGAACCTCGATTTTAGAGATCCAGGATTGAATTACTTTTTTGAGAGTTTCATTATTTTTGAAATTTCTTGGTTTTGGAAGTTTGATGGTTCGACTTTTTAATTAGGAAGCTTGAGTTAAGGATTTTTTATTTTGGTTATTTGACTGTTTAATGATTTTTAAATTTGGGAATTTGATTAATCTAATTTTAAATTTGAGAAATTGAGAATTTAACGATTTTCACATCAGCACATTTAGACAATATTTTTTTGGGAGGAGTGGGGGAAGGATTTAACAGATTTAATGATTTTTAAATTTAGAAATTCAACAGTTTGATGATCTTCAAATTTTTTAATTTGACAATTCAATAATTTGTGGATTTCAGAACAGGAAACTCAAATATTTGAAAATTTGTAAATTTTTGCTTTTGAAAATTTGATATTAAGAAGTTTAACTTAACCTTCCATAACTTTACTCAGTTAATAGGTATTAATATACTTGAAAATTTGCATATTTCTGACATTTGCATAATTCTTGAGGAGATAACAAGATGGCTACCTTCCATGTTCCAGAATCATCGACACGTTTGAATATTATCGAAAGGATGAAACTATCGAGTAACCGTCAGCACACATAATTGACAATAGGATGTAGCACCTGATGGGAAATGTCGACACAGTTGACCTAAACCATATTCCAGATATCAAGTTACCAATAATTTTATAAAAAGAACGTTACAAATATTGTTACATCCATAGCTTGTATGAATACTTAAAAAATTATTGCTATAATAAATTGCAAGTAAAAAATATTAATATAAATCCTGTAAGTAAAAAATATTAATATAAATCTTGTAAGTAAAAAATATTAATATAAATCCTATAAGTAAATAATATTAATATAAACCTTGCAAGTAAAAAATATTAATATAAATTTCCTAATTAAAAAATATTTTATATTCCCACTTCGTTAACATCACCTACAAAAACTAAAAAATGCTTTTTAAATCAAAAAAGTCATACAAGAGTCCGAAACGTAAATTAAAATTTGAACAGTCCTCAGTTCTACATTTAATTCTAACCAAAAGTATCCACCATCTCCTATAAATTAAAAAAAAAAACGATAATTTGCGTATCGATGATTCGCAGAGAGTTGTGTTTCTCCAAACAATCGGAACTCTGATCCGATAGTGTTTCATAGGAACACCGGGCAGTGTAAACCACCATAATTATTCGATACCTCTTGACACACCTAATTGGACAACTTGGTTGGTAAATGGTACCGGAAGAGAGCAAGGAAGGAGAGGACAGGAAGAAGAAGTTGAACGGGTTAGGGGGTAGAAGAGGAAAGAGACGATACTGACCGTCGATTTCTACAGACCACCCGTGGACCAACCATCGGCTCGTAATGGCCACTTTGAGGGCCCGCCATAAGCTTTCCCAAAGAGACGAACCCTTGCTCTAAGTGGTCTTACACCGACGTTTCGACGAGGTAGATACTTACTTTGCCTATCTGCAATATGACCTAACCTTTTGCCCCCGTCCTTCTATCCTTCTCCCTTGCCGATCCTTCTCTAGCTTAAGTTTACCTTTCTCTCCTGCCCCCTTTTGCTTTTCTCTCTCATCCTCCCTTAGCCTGCACGTTTAATTGATCGAATATCAATTTCTGCCTCTTCAAACGCTCGGAAATTCCCTATCATGCCGTCCCTCGTAAACTTTCGAAAAAAACAAACAGAACACGTTACAAATTAGTTTATTTATAAAGTAGTTGCTCGTTAAATTAATTTTACCCACTTTAATTATCGTTAGGGTCGAGAAGATAATCTGGGTTTTGTCTTAAATGAGAATGTTCAGTTGCACTGAAATTTTGGCATATGTGTAACTCATTCGAATTTCCCGCCAAATTGGTGCACGAAACTTGAGACACAGAGTGTTTAATTTTCTTTACCCCTTAAACAAAAATTTGCATACAAAATATTATTGTATACAGAATATTTGTATTGTATACAGAAGATTGGTACCTTAAAAAATAAGTATCTGTAAACATCCGTCGAAGCTAGCAAATTAACGAGCGAACTCCGCAGAAAAAGCAGCGTCGAGTTTGTCTTCGCTAATTTCCCCTTAAACAAAACCGCAAGAAAAAGAAGCAATATCGCGACAAATAAATAAAATCAAAGAGAAACGAACCCCTTCGTATCCGCAAAAAGAACAGGGTGAGACGTCTGAGAAATATAGACAGGACATCACCCTCGCTGATTTTTTCCAAATAAGAGTTTTACGAATCAACATACACCCAGATCAAAAGAGGAGTTTCTGATAATTGGTGAAAATCTTTTCCCGCTGCCACAAAGAAAGCAAACCCCTCGTTTGAGGATTATACATATTTCACGGTGGAAGATATGAGAAAACATGGCGTATTTATTTTCTACCTTCCGAAGCAGTCACAGTTCGACGAGGTAGATTCCAGCGGAGTGTGAGAGGGGTTTGATACGGTCTGGTATCGAGAAGGGGTTGGTAGGGGGTTCGCTCCTACAATTCGAGACACGGAGGGAGCGGCCACCGGATGTCTTTGCTTTACGCTTTACTTTTATTTATCACCGTGAAAGACGGAATTCATGGCGACCGTCGCAGACTTTTCATGAAAGAGGAAAAAATGAAGGATCCCCACGTTCGTGCTAAACGATCCTCCGTAATTTCTTGAGTGGAGCCATTGCTTCTTTCCGTTTGCTTCGACCTCGTGGAAATGTGGCAATTTCTCTGAGTTATTTGTTCATATTTTTAATGCGGTCCTGCAGAGAGTTCAACGGTTCCCTATGTTTTTCCAGCGAAGATCTGGAGCCTAAACCTAGTTTACGAAGAAAGAAATATGAGGTAAGAACGATTTATCAAGGTTTGTATTTTG